GCCCGTTGTTTTCCCCTCACTAATCTGCATCATCAAACCTGGGAATATGGAGATAGATTTTACTGTACTACTTATATATTATTCATGGCATGCCATGAAACATTATGAAGGTAATTTTATTGCACTGTAATTAAAATACCTGTTTCTGTATACATAGATAAACAAGTAAAATTTAAAACCTGAAATAAAGATGGCTGTTGTCATTGTCTTTATAATCATTAAGATGAGTGAATAGATTCTATAATAATAGCTTTTTCTTTTGCCATTGCCCCATCTTTAACAAATAGAAAAACCTCTCTCTACGTGTTTGATCATTTGTATTCTTGATTTTGGATAATTTCAGAAAGAAGAGCAGCCAGGCTTGGTTTGCAATATTCTCACCAGATTTTTTTAGATATTCCACATGTGGAGTGTGGGATGTTTAATGTCAAATTCGTTTATTTCAATATATTTGATTTTACATAGGATTTTTGATTTAGCAGAATGATACATAATATGCTGAAATCTGTGGTGGTACAACTGCTCCCCCCGCAGCCCCTCTCCCTCAGGCTGCACTATGACCTCAGAAATGCTTGTTAGGCCTTGATGAACAGCTCCTGGGCTTAGCTCCTCTTGAGTTTATTGGAAACAATGTCTGCTCCCAGGAACTTTTGGCCTCTAATGAGCTCCTGATTTTTAACAAACGGCCTTGGAAACTTATTTTCCTTGCCTGAATAACAACCCACGTGGGGCAGCATTTTTGTTGTTGAATTTCAAAGGAAGTTACCAACCCAAATTTTGTTCAGGATGGAAAATAACTAAGGCCAACTCTCTTGCTTCCCTTTAAACAGCAATCCCAAGCAAGATCCTTTGAGCTCTCCTGGACCACAGCAGCCTGCAACCAGCATCTATCTCCCTCTGAGTGGGACACCTCCTGAGGTGGTGAACTCTGATTGCTGTACTCAGAGTACATCACTGAACCTGAGCTGAATTTTTCACAGGTATGTCCTGTGCATACTCCTTAGGTCTGTGTGCATGCCAGTGTACATAGGCCATAGTAAATGTGCTATGAATGCTAATCTCTTACATTCTTAAGTATATTAGATTCCTGAGTAAGTTAGGCCTATAAGTTAGTTACTATTGTGCTTATAGTACATTCTAAATATTCCTTTGTTAAATTGTTTAAATTTGGCCATCAGTTAAGTTCTGCTAAGTTCAAGTGCTGTTAAAATCTTGAGCCTTAAACTGTTGGTCAAGGCTGGAGCAAAGTTTGGCAAGAATGTGCACTCTGAACCTTGTGACTCAATGGGAGGAACTCCCTTATTCCTTTTTATCCTTACGCTTTCCCAGCCTTACCCTTTTTCCACCCCCAGACTCCACATAGATAATTTTATGTTGATTATAGTTTTAGACTGATTGGTTTTAGATTTTAGTTTGATTTTTCTCTGTGTACTGTAACCACCTAGTAAATAGTGGAGCGAATCTTGCCAACACCTTTGCTGATGAATATTTGAGAGACCTAAGCCACTCATTCATGACACAATCACAATACAAATGTGAGATCACACTCAACAAAATGCAACAATTGCAACACAGATTTCAGTCATAATGTCCGTGTGAGCTCCACTGCCTTCTCTATAATATGATCACGGTCTTGATGCTGGATGTCCCCAGTCACTGGGAAGAAGTTGAAACAGCTCAAGTCCTTCACCCTCACCAAAATTCTTTTGTTGGTTGTTCAGTTTTTATACTCTCTGTTGGGCTGAGCCATGTATAACCCCCCTCAGTGCTGTGTCCCGAACTCAAAGAGCCATTCCCTTTCAGTGAGCTCAGGGAGAAATATTTACACAACAAACTGTCTGTGTAGTCTGTGGGTCCACCCGCAGCTGATAGCTGCTTGTTCAAAACTAAGGCCACCTTCCAGTCCCCTTTGTGTTGAGATACTCTGGCTTTGTTTGCAACAACTTGTGGTCAGTCACATCCTACATTTCTCCCTGAGTTTCATGGGTGCATCAGCCTTGCCCATCTCCTCTGAGCCTTTCCCCTTTGTGGGGTTTTATTGGCCAGTCATACAGGAATACCATATACCTTTGCTCCAGAATAAAAACCTGGTAAATGTAGGAAATCGAGTTGGGCAGTATCAGTTTAACCAACAAGTTTCTCTTTTGGCAGCCAGGTTTATCTGTGCACCTCACCATGAGCATAATGAAAAAATATTACATGATTACCCTGAGATTACAATTAGAATGAGATGATTTTTGATTTGATATGGTATTTAGCTGAAGGAGCTACATGTCAAGTATTTGTCAGTTTAAGCATGTTTCAGGCTGAAACTGCAGGCTGTAGACTAATCAGAACATACCGTGCAGACATACTTTTAGATACAGTATTCTCAAATAAACACCAACTAGTGTCATGAGCAGCAGGGTTAACAGAAACCCAGTTTTTCTTATGCCTCTGTGCCTTGTTGGTGGATTCTGAGGTCTGTAAGAAAGTGCAGCTTGCACTGACTTTACCTGTGCTTGAACATTAATTCTCCCTCTTTCATAGCTGGATTTTTTGGGTGTTTGCCATTTGCATTATTGGCTGTTTGTTAAGGGGTGAGACCCCAACTGGGGTAAGGTAGGAGACATTAACTGTTGTCCATCATACTTGATGTTCTCATGGCCATCAGATAATCCATCTTGTTCAGAGCTGGCAGACAAAACGATTAATAGGAGGAAGCTGAAGATAAGTGGAGTGGACATAATGGACATAAGAACAAGTGTTATATTGAATGGGATGTCAGAGAGCCTGAGAAATGAGTGATGGGCACTACGTATGTTTAGGGAGGAAGTGTCATTCTCCACAGGTGCTGCAGTAGAGTCTTGTTGCTGCTGGTTTTATTAAAAACTTTCTGTTATGTCATTGAAATGGGGAGGAATTTTCTATACATGCTGTTCAGGAGTGGGGAAAGCAACAGCTGGAGGTATTTGGGTGAATTTCTGGGCACAGATATTGAAGAATCTGTCTTCTCATATGAGCACAGATCTCTGGCAGCAGCAGTTACAGGCTTCACTTGTAGCATCAGCAAAAACATACAAAGTGAAGAATATATGGATGAATTTTTCATCATGCCTGTGTTATTACCTGAGCCATAGGCATGAAAAGTAGGTAATTGAAGGGTATGAAATTTTGCTGATAAATTCTGCAGAGAATGCTAAGATTAGTAGCACTATTGAAATACTATCTCCAGTTCTACTCTCTTCGTTGCAAAAAAAGGTGTGAACATATAAAAGAAAAGTTACAAAAGAGCTGATGTTTCAGTGACTAATTTAAATAATCTCTGGGGACAGATTCTACCCAAAGTTTGGGCAGCAAGGTACAGTGGCTGTTGTCTGAAGTCTAACCTCTGAATCTTTAATTTTTGAATGCTCCTGCATAAACCCAACTTCCCTGGAACCTGAACCTGCATAGCCCTCAGTCTGCCCAGAACTCCAGCAGCTCTGCATTAAGGTAATGACTATTATCAAGGTCAGCTTGGCCTGTGTTACCTTAACTCCATGGAACCCTGAGGCGAATAACTGCAACAGATTTGTCCAAACAGCTTATTTTCCTGGGGAGTTGACAAAACATCTCTATTGCTCTTTCAAAAGTCTCTAAAGATCAATAAAACCACTTACTAAGTTGATGCCTTCACATATTTTCCATGGAACTGGCAAAGCAAAGGGTCTAAACTTGTGGCACCACATTCAGCTCTGACACCGTTCAGTATCTTTATCCAAATATTTCTGATGGATGAGGGTACTAAAAAAACCACTGGGTATTTGAAATCAAAAGTAAGATCTACACTTTCACTTTTTCTTCTTAATTCTGAACTAACTAACATTTCTTTATCTGACACATGATCCAGTACCTTGATGGCCCTCCAATGGGCAAGCTCCAGTATGTCCCTTGTTGTGAGGAACTCGACACTGGACAATTCTCCAGCTGCATTAATTTGCAACAGATGTGGAATTTGATTCTTAATCATTTATGACTACCACTTGATAGTAGACAATTGGAAAACTGTGATTAAATTAGTAAAACCTGAGAGAAATTGGGACACTATGTGCCAGCTGAAAGCAAAACTTAGACCTTTTTGTTGCCAGGTTGAGAGTGAAATGAAACTTATTTAGAATCAATTTAATACCTCTGTGCTGAAGTATGCAACTTTGACACATGTTTCACTGAAGATTGTCCACATTTTAAACTGCAGTAAATGCTGCCATCTAACGGTACCTGATCCCTGGGAAATGACAGTAAAAATTAAGTAATTACCTCATTGTTCCTGCTATTCTTGGCCTCAAGATGCTAAATATTTTCTGCTTCCCTGTAAAAAGTGAAACATTTTCACTTTTCTTGTGCTAATAGGTAGCTTCTTTTGGAAAATTGTATTAATGTGGTTCTACCCCTCTAAGAACAGATTATTTCTTGCAACATATGAAAACTGAAGATACTCCTTACAAAATAGACAAAAATATGTTAAGCATCTGAACTCTTTATTGAAGAATCTAAACCAGTCATATTTTATTAGTGGTTCTGAATCCACTATGACGCTTCATCTGAATAAGCTAAAATGCAAAAAACATCAGTAAAATATTAATACTCATTACTCATACTTTCTTTTTGAGAATCAATCAAATAAATACTTCCTCTAACTTTTATTACATGTTGCCTCCTATTACTAAGATTACTAAGTAATGCTTTATATGACATTTGGTTGATTATAAAATTTTATGTACAATGATTCTCAAGATTTTCTGGAAGAAAAACTTTATGTGTAAAATCCTTTGATTTTGGTAACTATGAGTATGACAATTTTCATATGCTGAATGATACAAAGAACGAATTATATATGACTTTTACACTCAGGCAACTCAGAATGATCTGTTAAATCCATTTAGGTGCACATATAAAGACACCTCAAAAATTCTTAAGCATAAACAAATCCACCCACAGGCGCTAGGAGGAGATGGTCTCAAATCATCAAAATTAGAGGCTGACTATACTCAACTGTTCTGAATGAGCTCTTTTACAGAAGTGCAGTAATTATTTATTTTTGACACAATAAAGCCTGGTTGGAAATATTGTTTATCTCTAAAGAGATATAAAATATTCTAGAGCCTTGTGTGTTTATAAATCTGTGCTTACAACTGACCTTTTACAGATTTTCTCCGTAAACACATGAACTAGGACAAAACTGGCAGTTGAGAAAATGAACCCACCTACTCTAGTAGCTGAGAAAAAAGTTATATGGTTTGATTTTCCTCCAACATTTATGACATAGTTGCTCAGATCTTAATTGTTTTTGGGGAGAATCTGCAAATTTGAACAATCAGAATACTTGAAGGCTGCCATCATTATTCTAAATTTAGAGCATTATGCTCTGGGATTCACACATGGCCTCCATTGGAAAATAAGTGACTTTGGTTTACATGTCAAAAATGCTGCAGCCTGGGGAAACTTTATGTGTCCAGCTTATAATGGTCCAATAGCATCATAAAGTCAAGGGAGAGATGTGGAAGAAACAGACCGTGGTTTATGTATCTTCCTGCCACTACTTTCATTAAACATTGATACAATAAGCCTTTGCTTCTCCCGTGCTTCTTCTCCATAGACAGCACTGTTATGTCTGCGACGGCGAAAGAAAGATGTATTTTTGAAAGAACGCTGTAACAAATACCTCCTGAAGGCCCTTTGGATAATAACTGCTGATACCTCCTCTTGTTTTCTTTTAAGAGTGGAAGAAATTGGCTTCTGAAAAATTTTAGATGGATTGGCAATCACAAATTTTTCTTCCATGTGTAATTCAAGACTATCCAAATCTCCAAATTCTCCCAAGACCCTTTTAGTGAAAGCACGCAAGATATCCAAGTGGTGGATCTTATCTCCACTCACTAGAGGGAGGTCCATGGATATGAGCTGGATGTTATTAGGCTTTGGAATGCGCAAGGGTTCTGCCAGAGCATCTGCAAAGTCTGAAAGGGCAGAATAGTCAATAAACTCTGTTGCCAGAGGATCGAATTTTCCCCATGTTTCATAAAACATATCAAAGTCATCCTCACAAAGAGGATCTGTGCTTTCTTCAGTGGCAACATTGAAGTTCTCTAAAATGACAGCTATGTACATATTTACAACAATGAGAAATGATATAATGACATAGCTTACAAAATAGAAAATACCATATGCTGTGTTTGTGCAATTAATTTTATCCTTGTCTTTTAAACCTAAGTTGGGAGCACATGTACCAGATTCACTTAACAAAGGGGCCAGAAGAGTATCCCAGCCAGCTGATGTTGTAATTTGGAAGAGACAGAGAATGCTACCAGAAAAGGTTTGGAAGTTGAAAATGTCATCAATCCCGCTTTTCCAGGGAAGACAGGCAAAGTTTGCCATGCCCACAATGGCATAAATGAACATAATCAGGAAAAGCAAAAGGCCAATGTTGACCAGTGCAGGAAGAGACATCAGTAATGCAAACAGAAGGGTTCGAATTCCTCTCGCTCTTCGAACCAGTCTCAGGATTCGGCCAATTCGTGCCAAGCGAATGGTTCTCAAAAGTGTAGGAGAGAAGAATCTTTGGAAAACCTCAGAAACTCCAATACCTTTGAAATGAGAAAGAAAACAAAATTTTGTCATGTCATATTAGTCAAATTTATGTCTGCTTTGTTATATTCTGTGCTTTATGTATCAGAAGTAACACTGACCATATTACACCACTTTCCACCCAAACATCATCAATACTGCACCTGCTTACAAAAGAGCTTAGGAAAAGAAAGACAAATTGTAATACCATTCAATATTAAAGATATATCAAGATTATGCATTGTTTGGAAACTTCATCCTTCCAGATTTCTCTAATTCAGGGGTGGTGAAGTTACACGTTCATTGCTCAAGTACTTAAAAATCCTTTTAGCTCCGTTCAGCTCCTGTGCTGGAAGCTATGGGGATTGCCTTCTAGTTGTCATCTGCTGCTAAATGTGAGGTTTTGATTAATGCTTGGTACTTGAAGAAGATCAGAGAAGACCAAAATGAATGTAAAGGAAAACTGTCTACTAATAGAGTAATGGTACAGAGCAATGCAAATGATAACAAACAGAGGAGTTAAGGAGTCATCATTTTCCTGGGTTGCACAGGACAGCAAAGGGTTACTGTGCTCAGGCACGAAACAGAGAACCCAGAGCACTTTGTCTTTTCTGTCCTTTATTCTGTGCTATAACCTGAGCCTGAGGGGGAAGCACAGACCAAATAAACTGTACAAGGAATTTGAGCTATACATGGCCCTTTGCAGAGGAAATGATCAGCATCTAGTCTTATTTGCAAAGCCAGAAAACCCCGAGACAGTTTTAATGAGACTTTTCACAGTCACAGATAGTGTCCCAGATTGAGAATGGTGCTGAGTAACTACATTTTCCTGAGCTTTCTAAAACAGCAATCAGGATTTGTCTTCTTTAAAGGAAGTCCTGGTGAAATAAATAAATCTTTCTTATTTTTCAATCAAATGTATTTTTAACATGAATTTACTTTTACTATGAAAACAACAGTTATCATGATAGCATGTAAATTGAAAGCATAAAAACAATTAGACAACAATTTAAGAACAACAACTTAGTGAAGATGTTAGTGAATTAGGTTCCTATACTATTAATTACTCAATAAAACACATATTTAGAAAAATAAAGATTGAAAACTCTATTCACCTTTTAGCATTATGCAAAAATATAAAGGAAAACAAGGAAGGAACATAGAAGGAATCCCTTAGCATATACTTTGAAAAGTACAGTGGATCTGGAATGTGTTTGTCAAATATATCCAGGTGGTTACTTCATAAGGAAATTTGGCTCAATATTGGTATGACACATTACCTGATTTAGTGATTGGTACTTACTGACTATTGAAAGGACCACAACACTAAAATCAAATAAGTTCCAGCCGCTTTTGAAGTAGTGCTGTCTTAAGGCCAGTATTTTCATGACACATTCCGCAGTAAATATAGCCACAAAAAAATAATTAATTTTATTAAGAACTTTCTTGGTGTCATCCTGGTTATTTTCTGCCATCATAACAACCATGTTTAGGCAGATCAAAATCACAACGACGATGTCAAATGCTTTGTGCTCTACGATATCAAACAGCAATCCCAGGAATGCATTCTGTGCAGAGAACAAGAAATGCTTGATGTTACTTCTAGGACCCAGCCTGCATTCAAATAATGATCAGTAATTTGTACTTAGAACAAGAACTGAAGGCAACATAAACTTAAAAATAATCTACCTAAAGCAATTTTAGGTGATTTCTTTAGATCTTCAATGAAAACTCACAGTACCTGGCTAAGTATATTCAGGCATCAAGCAAGGATATGGGCACTTATATATATATATATATATATATATATATATATATATATATACATATATATATATATATATATATACTTCAGGAAAACATCCAGAGTACACTGTTATTGCTCTTTTAATAGAAATTCTCATTGAAGGATAAACAATTCAAATTAAAATGTCATAAGCAAGAAAAACTCTGAATAGTTATTGTGAAAATCCAGGCCTGGAAATAAATTTAAGAAAATAAAAGAAATAAAGCATAAGATTACTTAGAAGCAAATAACTGCCACGGAGCATGTCCTAGTCTCTATTCATTCTCACCTGCAATAATCCAGTCTAGTTGCAGAAGCAGGATCATGCAACTTGAGTAACCAAGGTCATGGTAAGAATATCAAACACTTAATATGAACCTTTATAAAAAGGTTGCACATTTGAAAAGGTGACAAATAGGCTATAAATTTCCCTAATTAACAGCCACAAAGTTGTGTTAGATGGAATTAAAGAAGAGAGACAAAAGTGTAAATACTACATGGAATGAGGAAGATGATGGGCTCTAATGCAAAGTTGATTTCCCTGTGCCTGGCTACTGAGTTCAGATATGGTCACCATCATTGTATCTTCTCTCATGTTCTACTTAAGATGGTCTCACCGATGGTCTTGGGATGGGTTTTTGAGGTTTCTTGGATCCAAGCTTTTTTAAGGCATTATAGTACTTTTTCTGTTCCTCAGTCAGAAATAGATCTTTTCCACCTAAGTAAAGGGAAAGAATATTGTTGTTCAGCTGAAGTTTAAGCGGTTCCCTAAATAAATACCAGTAAATTTCTGTAAAAAAGAGGAAGTTATAGCTGTCCTGAGTGGGACCTAAGAGAGCACAGAGACAAACTGTGTCTTCACCATTTCTCCTTTTCCCCTTGATCTTTGAAATGATGTACTGGAAGGAGCTGATCTGGGTTTGCTCATGAAAGTCTAGTCTAGGCAGTGTTGCCAAGTCAGTTCCCTCAAGTGAGAGAGCCTTTCTGAAGTTTTACAAATCTATTTCATAGTTTAAAAATTACATAAGATGCATCAAGGAGTGAAATACTTTCTAGTTTTGGGGAAGGTAGAAAGAGAAATGTGTTGCTGGACTAGCAGGTAAATGAAGGATGATGGGACCATTGCCAGGGGGTTCCTGGCAATGAATTTCTTATTCCCATCTACACCCTCTGTATTAGTTATCCCCATCTACACCCCCTGCAGTACTTAGCAATCCCTTTGAACCCAGGATTCAGAAGCCACTCATCAGTCATAAAAGCACTGAGTGATCAGCACTTTGTACAACAAACACATAACAACGTTCACTGGGGCATCTGCAATTTCAGTCACTCTGGCAAGACTTCTGAAAATTCCATTTGACTTCTCTGTGTGGAATCGGAAGGAAAATTCCCAAGAAACAGCAAAGAAATGAAAGAGGAAAACTGAAAAAGAAAAAAAAATGCCAATCACAGAATATACTAAGAAAAAAGTGCTATATCCACTTCCAGTAAATGTTCAGGCTCATAAACTACTTCACGACTGTTGTTTCTATCTGGTTGAATTATCGTAACTGGGACTGTGTTAGAAAAGGAAATTCTTAGAATGAAGTGTGACCGTTGTTCCTTAATCACCATTGATCACTTAATCAGATTGGGATTCCAGGAGGCTCTGAGTTAGCTCCACAGTACTTATCTTTTTCCTTTGTTGGTTAAAATTGCTGATAACCACTCCAATAAAAAGGTTCAACATGAAGAAAGATCCAAAAATAATGAAAACCACAAAGTATGTGTACATGTACAAGCTTGCTTCAAACTCTGGTTGTTCATTGATCTGTTAAAAAAAAAGTCAAACAAAAAGAAATGAGATAGTCACAGCTTTACCATTTCCAGGTTATAATAACAAATTTTTTTTTAATTTTTTATATATATATATATATATATATATATTTTTTTTTTTTTTTGTCATGAAGGATTATTTCTACGCATTAAAAAAGCAGGCTTTTGTGTGGTGTCACTCTACTTTGATCAGTTTCTTTTGTCTAAGTTACAGATTTTTGGTACTCCAAGGATTATTGTTTCACTGTGTAGTCTGATGCATTCGACCACTTGATATTGCAAATAAAGATGAAGAAATAATTATATGGATGGAAAAGGGAAGAAGAAAAGGGAAAAGAACTAAACCTCATTGTAATGACATACCTCACGTGAATCCACTGCAGCATACATAATATCCATCCAACCTTTAAAAGTTGCCTGAAAAGGATGCATTATTAAGATTTTATAGATAAGAAAAAAAATTAGGTATAGCTTATATAAATGTGTTAATAGTTGTGGAACATGAGCAGTTTGCTATAAAAAAATGTGTATAATTTCTAAAGATATGCTGGGAATTATCACTAGAGTTTAGTAAAGAGAAAAAAAGAACTTTCTGAAAACTAAACAAACACACAAAAATATTTCCTGAAAACAAAAACCCCACATTGTTCCTGTGAAAAGCGTCTTATTGTTAATTCTTGTTAAATTAAATTTTTTTTATGAAAAAAAAAGTAAAATTTTTAGCTTGCAAAAAAATTTTCAACTTGCAAATATATTGTAAATGGATAAAAACAATTTCTAAGAAAACAAGAGAACATATCCTTCCCGCAATTTTTAGCAATTCTGAAGAATCATAGAATACTTTGGAGGATCCAGGACATAGAACTTCATCAAAAAAAGATACAGGGATAACAGCCAATTTAAAACATGCCTTTCTCTCCTTTGTTGGGGGTGTTAGGGAGCTCAGTAAATTAGTATGCCTATTCTTCATGGCTTCTACAGGAAAAGAAAATATAAACAAACTGTGCCCTGATTTTCTTTCTCATCCACTCTGAACTAGACAAAATAAGAATAGTTTTAATTCAGTAACCTGCAGACTATTTCAGGCTTAGAGCGCTAATCAAAATGAAAACAAAACTGAAAAGCCATGAAACAGAGTTCTTGATTTTAACACAAGGTTGCACATGCTCAAGTGTTCTTTAGGAGGAACTGAGCAGGTCACTGATAAGGAAAATACATATGGAAGTTAAAAAAAAATCCCCAATTTCAGTGGGATAAACAGAGGCATAGTGGTGTCCCATGGCTGGGCTGCTCAACCCATTTCCTTGAAGAAACCAAAACTGGGAATGTTTTCATAGAACTTACCACTTGGAGGAGAGCCAAGTATCCCATCCCAACATTATCAAAGTTTACAGGATAATTTGTCCAATTTCCACCATAGGAATAACAATCAGTTTTGTTATTAATGAGACTGATATTTCCTTCCTGGAGTATGCATTTTGAAAATCTTTTCCCAAGCCATTTTACTCCTAGAATGTTAAATAGGAGCCAAAAGACAACGCAGACGAGCAAAACGTTGAAGATTGAGGGGATAGCTCCGAGGAGTGCATTGACAACAACCTGAAGGAAATGAATGAAAATAATAATGCATTTTATGTTGTCATTTTCTTAAAAATCTTCAGCCATTACAAAATATTCACACTGACCCCAATATCTTTACCTTTATCCCTTCAAATCTTGACAAAGCTCGTAGAGGCCTCAATGCTTTAAGAGTCCTGAGAGATTTCAGGCCACTCCCAGAGGAACAACGTGCCTTGTCTTCAGTTTCAGGATTTAGTCCCCAGGAAGCAAATGACAGCTGTGCTCACAAAATTGGAACTGGGATTATTAAATGGTAAACAAAATTTCCCTTGTCTGTGTTAGCAAACAATCATTACCTGAATGGTACAATATCTTTGACCATCAAGTCAAATACACATTAAATTCAAAGTTATTGCAATTTTACTTTATTATTTTCTAATATATGGAAGAAAAAAAAAGGATTTCTTCACTTTAGTTCGAAATGGGCGGTGGGGGTTGCTTGGGTTTGTTTTTTTTAATGGTTTATATATTTTCATGGCTTTCCTCTGTTTTGGAGAGCACTGCTATTAAGATTAGAAAGCTGTAATTGTGAAAGTCATGCTACGTATTATTTATAAATAGCTATAATATTAGATTTTTCTGTTGAAATTTCCTACTACTTCACAACTTTCAACGCTGAGGCCATCAAACAACTACTCTGATGTTACCATCAGTCATCTATTTACATGTCCTTTTTTTAAAATACTTCAGAACCTTCCCAGTGTGATGTTGACGAGCATAGATGTCTCATTTTTATATGGCAAGATTGTAATAATTAATATTGTCTGAATTCATAATAAATATGTAGGAATTGAATACTGCACTTATCTCCCTATTGGTGTTTTCAGCATGTCTCTGTATAGATACACAAAGGAATGCTGGGATTTCTCTTTTGCAAAGCAAAAGGTACTTTTCTACGTCTTTAACGCTCTGGGAAATGATTTTTCCTACAATACTTTTACTATCTAAGTTTCTTCTCCTTCAAGGGAGCAACTCTACCTTTTTTTCTGTTTCTAAATGCCCAAATCACAGAATCATAGAATGGTTTGGGTTGGAAGGGATCTTTAAGATCATCTAGTCCAGCACTGCCAGTAGCTTCACACTTTTCTATCGTTTTAAGTAATTTATTTTAGTTTTATTTCTGATCACTAATTTAACTCCTTCTTTCCCCTTGAATAGGTTTTTAGAGCCCTCTTGGTCCTCAATGACGGTGATGCCTAATAAAATTTTCTGAAGCAACTTCTAGCTATTGCTGAAAATTTCAATTTAAATTTGTCCTAAGGTCTCTTTGGATTCCAGGTTTTTCAGCTTTTGGAAACTATCACACTTGTAGTTATTCATAATCAGAAGTTACATGTAGTTATCCAGATAGAAAATGTCAAAAATCAAAATGTATGATCAGCTGAATATAATACTTACACATACAATGACAAAGTCAAGCAAACACCAGCAATTTGTGAAGTAACTGTGCAATCCATAAGCTACCCATTTCAGAAGCATCTCCATCAAAAAGATGTAGGTAAATATTTTATCAGCATAATCTAGGATCATTTTCACTGTTTTTCTATTCTTCAGGTGAATATCTTCAAATGCCTGGAATTTCAGAATTCAGTTTTAAAACAGGTCAGTAATTGTACGGAAAATTATTTTTAAATTGCACAAGAATACACAGTTTGTCTTATTACAGTTTGTCTCATTACAAGCATTTCATATTACATTGTGAGCAACCACCACTTAGTTTTATACTTAGAAGTAAAAAATTAAATTGTAAAATGAGTTCAATCTCCTTTTCAGGTTGTTGAAAAATCACATACTTTCAGGTTTTTATGCTTGACATTGCAAAACATGTCTGAGGACAGGCAATTGTGGTTACCACAGTCTGGCTTCCCAAGGTAGTTGATAATTTTGAAGGTGTTGGTCTAAATTCTTCACAGTAAAGCCTGACTTAAACACATTAACCAATGTCTTTTAGACTCTGACCCTCCATCTTTAGTCAGCCTGCAGAGTTGTAATACCCACATGAAAAAAATATGACAAACTCCTTATCTGGAACTGTTTATTCCTGGAGTTACAGGTCTTTTCACCTAAACCTTGACCTTGAGGTTTTAGGAAAATGTTTTATTGATTCCTGCTGTTCACATCAGTGTTTGCTTGTGTTTAATGCATTTGTTGCCTTGGTAATTAATTTTAAGTGTTTGATAGTGCCGATTCACTCCCAGTTCCTTTTACACCTTGCATTATTTCCTCACCAAGCCTCTGGAAATGTATTTATTCCTCCTTTCAAGCACTTCTCCCCTACCTTATCGCCCCATCTCCACTTCATTTAGGTATTACAGCAGACCTGATTTGCCTCCCTGCAGTTAAGACATGCCTAAAAACCCAGTCTAACTGGCCATGGGAAAGGTGGAGCAGGAGCACAGACCACTGAAAAAACATGGAGCAGAGATGCTCCAATGTGCAACCCAATAAAACTTACGCACTCCTGTTCTGCAGTGTTAGAAAACAGGGATACTTTTTCTAGAGCTCAGGGGTCTTCCAGCTGTGCCACAATTAGGAGAAATGCTTACTGAGCAGAGCTGTCTCTGTGTCCATGGGACTGTTCATTTGAGTGTGGGTAAATGAGAACTTCTGACATTCGTGCACATAAAACGATTTACCATTTCTGACCTTTTTTTCCTGAGAAAATTTGATAATGTGTCCTTTTATTCCCTGCTAAACCTTGGTTGCCTTCAGCTCCATCTACCAGTCAAACCACCTGTTCATTAGCAGCGATGTTTTTTCAAACTTCCAACTACTTTTTTTCCTACCTTTTTAAAGTTTCTAGCTACTCTTAATTGCTGCTACTTAGGTCAGAAACTACTTGAGTTCCTGACTACTCTTCGTTTCTCTGAGCACTGAGCACTCACCATGGACTTTTCTGTGCATTCTTTCTGTGATCACCCTCTGATTTACTTTCCTTTCAAGGCATGGACACTGTGGTGTCCCTTTGTTCTAACTGGTTCAGAAAATTCCCTATCAGTATACAGCTTTATAAACAAACAAACAAAAAAAACAACCAAACAAAATTGGACAAGTACCTTTTTGCAAGAAGACAACAGGATCTTAGAAATCTGAAAGTTCTCACTGCTAAACATCTTTGATGACAAGAAAATGTTATTGTTTTATTATTTTGCACCTGGGTACCAATTAGCCTTGTGCTCAACTTAGAACCTAAAGTACATTAAAGAATAACTCATTTTCCTTCCTTACTGTCTCAGTTTTATGAGACACAAGTGTTTTGCTGAGGGTGAGTTATGAGGAAGACCCAAACTCCTCCCTCTAAGCACTTAAATCCTAAATTAGGAGGCTCCAATTGAGAAAGGGTGGAAAAAGGAAAAATAACAGCCCTTTATTAAAAGATATATGTGTATTGGCAGTACAACGAAAGGACACAAATAAAACAACCTAACCATAATCCTATACCCAAAAATAATCCCCTTCAAAACAAAGAAACAAAAAAAGGTAAACATTTCAGTTGTGCCCTTTGGTGCAATTCTAACCGCAGTCAGTAGGGGGTGCTGTTGGATCACAGGTGGTCAACCCATGGGGGTCCCCCAGGGTGTCCTGGAGAAGGCGAAAATGGAGGTTTTCCCTCTCCCTCACCTGGAGAGGGGAAAAAAAGAGAAAAAAGGGTTCTTCCCAACAGGAATTGTCTAAGGCTGGACCGTGTGGCTTCCCCTCTGCTTTGACGTGCACAAGAACTGCTGTTAAAAAAACACCAGAATGGAGGAGGGAAAGAAGGTGACCTCCTTCCCGAATAGTTCCTCTCCATGAAAATCCAAGCAGGTCCTGGGCTGGGGCAGATAACACGTCGCAGGCGAACCAGGGCCAGGAGAAAAAAAACCACCTGCCAGGCATCCAGGCTGAGAACAAAGCAACCTCGGAGCTCCTGCCACGCAGACCTTCTCCCAGCTCAGGTAACAACCAAGTGAGTGCCGTTTCCCAGGAGAAAAAAAAAAAAAGTAAAAAAAAAACTCCTAACCCCTCTTCACAGACTCTTAGGGCCATCAATCTAGAATGTGGACCTACAGGTCAACTCTTTTGTGTTGATCAATCACCCAAGGCAGAACCAACCTACCCATTCAACATCCCTCTTTCACAGTGGGCAGAGAGAAGGGAAAATTCCTTCTTAGTTTTCCAGAACAAGCAAAACCATGACACTTAGTTGAGCTTGGTTCCACATGAATAGAGAGGAGCCCTCATAGAAATCTCAGTGATTTCCTTTGGGCACTTTGCCACAGGAATTTTAAAGCAGACAGTTCAAATCTATAGTTCAGTAAACAACCTGAACTTAGTGTACACAGAACAGATTTTATTTGGAAAATTCTGACATTTTCCACGTAGATCCCTTTCAGACTAACTGGTTATGTTCTTTCTGCACTATAAAACCTTTTATGTAACAAATTACTTTTAGTAGACAGTGAATATGTTTTCAAATCATAAAAGTTCCCTTATTCCTGAGTAGAAATGGATCTGATCAGGGTAGCAATGAAACGTTACCTCCCCTTTCAGTTTACAGCCAACTTCACTTTAAGATTCTGATCAAAATGTTTTTAAAATGTTTTAAACATTTAGAAGTGCTATTATTTTATTTAAAAGTGTTAAGTAATTTTGGACTCTATTTTAGCCTTGTAATTAAGACTTAAATGTATGAAGAACTATATTCCTTGAAAAGCTACAATTCCATATATTTAAATCCATATACCTAAATATCCTATCCAAGTGCAGGAAAGCCTTATCACCATTAAGGGATACATGTATTACACTCTTATTTCTCCCTGCAGGAAGGAAAGTCAGAGTAGAAGAAATCAATCCAATTTTTTTTTTTTTTCTGACAACAATCAATTCAAAGTTAGAGAAATTAAATGCAATTTACCAGTGCTGCACTGCTCAATACTATCACAAAAATCATAAAATATTCAAATCCGCTGTGATTAACAATTCTGTAGCAGGTTTTCCTGAAGTTCCACCAAGTTCTGCCTGGAAACTTAGTGATATCCACTACACAACATGGGAAACATTTACCACAATCTGAAAAGAGAAAGAACAGTCTATTGGTTCCATGGAAAATGCTGAGATATGAAATCAAGAAAGTATAAGACAGCTTAGAGAGAGCTTCTACAGACTAGAGAAAGAATGTGCTCTTTTACCTATGAGGTGGTGCTGCGGTTAAAATGATCTCAAACTAAAGAAAAGACAAAATTTGTATGCTAAAACATTCTCTTTTAATAGAGCAATTCACACATGGAAAAAACAAATAAGCTTTTTGCCCTTCTGCAGAAAGGTTTATGGGCACCAAAAAAAAAAAAAAAAAGCACCTCAACTTCTGTATATGTTTATTATCTGCATTTCTTCTTTTTGTTTTGAAAAGAGATATTATCTTACTAGAAGGTTAGTCAATTATTATTTTTACTGATTATTTCACTTTACTGCACTGCAGAGACATTACAACTACACTCCCTGTTCACTGCTTTCCACCAGAAACACTTCATGAATCTGTAAAGGCAGCAGGATTGAACCATGAGAGTCAATGGAGTCTGAGGAGATGTTCAGGTAATCAAAGGTAAATGTCAACACTGGGATGAGCAGAAAAACAGATTCTGCTAATTTGGACGTGTTTCAAGTGGAAATTTTTTTACACTGGTTCATTTGGCATTAGAGCAATACAGAAAAGATTCCTACTTTCTCCAAAACAGTCCTTCGGCAGGTGTGAGTTTTTAGTCTGGGAAACCATCTCCAGACCAACAGCTGGATCCACAGTGCGGGCTTCAGAAAAGCTACAAGCAGCACCACATTTCTAAATGGGAAAGAGAATTAATTTGCTTTTCATTAATAAGGTTAACAAACTTAAAATAAATGAAATTTATCATATCCCTGCCCCCCTCTCCAAAAGGATTCTGCAGTCTATAACCTTATTGTTGCTGAACTACCAAAATGAAATTACAAATAATAGGACAGAAAAAGCCAGTTCCTCTTTCTTTCCACAGTTTTAATTTAATGAGTTTTTTTATTTCTTCTAGTCATCTAAACAGGATATGCAGGGACAAAAAGACTTTCTTATGCTACAACTTGGGAGAGAAGTCTGACTTCTTCAGGCCAATCCAATTCTCTTTTCATTTTCAGAGATACAAACCATGTCTCAAAAGGCTTGAAGATGGGAAAGTGTGGCAGGATAGAAATGTATATATGGTCTACACAACTCAAAGAACTGTCATTACTGGTAGGTAACCTACACACTTGTAAAACTCTTCAGAAAATCCCAGCCTGTGCTGTTATTGATGAATGGGAGAAAAGCTGTGACAGTTTGAATCTCTAGCATGTTCCGCATGATGATAAAAGTTAGAACTACCTCTTTTTGCTCTTGCTTTTCATGTGTTGCTCTGAAAACATGTATTGTTTCTGGAGTCCCAGAAATCTGACTGAAGCTGCCTGAACTCTGCTGCTGTTCTCTATGTCTTAGTTTGTCTCCCTGCAGGAAATAATGTAAAACACTTGACTTTCCACGTTTTTTCTCCCTGGCAGTCATTCCTAAATTCAGAATTCTATAAGAGAATCTAAAACATCCACAAAAATTAGAATCACAGAATGGTTTGGGTTGGAAGGGACCTTAAAGATCAACTCATTCCAACCCCTCTGTCACAGGCAGAGAACCTTCCACTAGTATGTTTGTCTTTTTACAGATAATTAAATGATATCCTCAAAATGCTTATAATAGAATGGTTTCTTCCTCAATTTCAAATATTGTGGCCCTGTAGTTCTACTGGGGAAATGTATCATTCCCCATTTAGCCCACGGATGGATTTCTGCATCCAATTAACCTTTGCAGCTGGACCCCAACAGCCTCATGCTTCCAGTTACAGATAGAAGACGTAAGTGATCCCAATCAGTTCTCAGTCCTTTTGCCTCCACAAATTCCAAGAAAGACCAGAGTCCACTGCTGCAGTTTTTGTCATCAAATGCTTCTGGATAACATACTGGAAATGGCCACAGATGATTCTAAGGTGATCAGCAATTTTTGCTTCTTTGAGGATTTGTCCAAAGATATTCTGTTGACAGTGCTTCCTAATATGACCAAAACCACAGGAAATGGATCCCAGCAGTCCACTTAGACAATGACCACTGGAGACATTCCAAACCTACCTGTACGCACTCTGTAACCTGCTTTAGGTGACCCTGCTTTTGCAGGGGCAGTTGGACTGGATGATCTCCAGATGTCCCTTCCAACCCAAAAAGTTCTGTGAAAAGAGTTCCTATAGCTCTGGTGTCTTATTTGACAGTTCTGTGTGGATGTGACAGACACCTGAAATATCTCAAACAGCCCTAAATGCCTGTGTAAGATCATGATGGTATAAATGCCTGACTCACATGGAGAAAGACTTGAGCTTTATCCTACCTGAAGCAAGAAAATCCCAAGATATAAAGGGGAGTCCAAAGCATCATAGAGATGAAAAGGTAATTAAAAAAAAAAAAAAAAAAGAAATTAGTTCTTGAAGTGCAACTTTTCTTTGCTTTCTCTTTGGATTCCATGCAACTGTGAAGCAACATATAAGCAGCAGAAGAGCCCTGTGTTAGACACAATCCAAGTGTAAGAAAAGGGAGACAAAAAGAAGGAATGTTTGTCTTCTTCCAACTTAATTTATTTGTTTACAGCAATAGTTGGGAACAAAGCAGGAAAGCAGAATTATGGCTATCCATGAAAAGAATGGTGACAAAGTGGATATTCAAAACCCCTTTGGAAAATGAAGACTATTTGGTAGTCCTTGCAATAGAAGAACAAAGAAAGTAAAATGGCAGAAATTACAGAAGGGATACCATTTACTGTTGAGCCTTTGAGATGGCAATTACAGATGTAAGTTACAGTATTTGTTTTAAATATGAATAGTTCTTACCTGCTTTCTCTGTTCTATTTCTGTGAATACAATGTGCTCATCATCACTTTGGTCTCTGTAAATCTCTGTTGCTGCAATGGGAACACAGGTACTGTGACTGCTTAAAAGATCTTTATATTTCCTGATTATTGAGGAATTCTCTCCATTATGGTAACACTCTGTGTCAAAGCCATTGTTGTCTATATATTTTCTGACATCTGTCATGGCATAATTATTACCCTCTAGGTTTTTGCCAGAAATTTCTACCAAAGTCTGCTTTTTGTCTGTCTTTTTGAGGCTTCCTTTCAGTTTTCTGCCACGAGGATCCAGAATTCTGTCTTTCACAGACTTCAGGCCCTTGTAAATCCGTGCAAGGGCAATCTGACATTTAGTCCCTTCTCCAGGTTCCTCTTGTCCCCCTGAGGCGTCAGTATTGAAGGAACTCAGCAGCAAGGCAATGAACAAGTTGAGCACCTTAAAATAGTTAAAGTAAGTTAGAGGCACTACTGCTAACAGAAAAGACACTTCAGAAACCCTCAGTCTTGCTTGCATCAACCACTGCCATGAAATTATTTACTATTATACTGCAATATTGTCATAGTACAATGTGGCCCCTTCTGGAAGGAATGGCAGGAGAAAAAGGAAGGAATGAGGGTTTGGGTATATCAAATATATTTTCACCTGCTCTGATGTCCATAAGGTATGAGGAGATAGAAATGTTGAAAACCAGCAAAGACACATTTGAATAGCACCACTATCAAAAAGGTTCTGGTATTGAGCAACAAACCAAGCAGATGAAAAAGATTTTGTCTTCCAGTACATTTGCATTAGATCCACTATATGTCATAGAAACCAGAAAATCTGGGTAGGGCAAACTCTTGATAATACAAGGACAAGTTGATAAGCATTAAAAGCACTGAAAAGCTGGTTATTTGATTCTATCAACACGAAAGATGCTTACATCAGACACCACATTATCAGAAGCACTGCACTTCTATAGGTAGAGGGAATAATTTTGTATTGCTTCTACCTCTTGTGTGAGAAAGACAAGGGAAAAGCAAAAACAAAAAAAAAAGAAAAGAAGAAAAACTTGTTAAGTGACATCCAGGGAAGAGAATAGTGCGAATACTCTCAGAATTATAAAGTTTTCCTCTGAAAAAATCAGTTGCCAGTGTAACTGGGTGCATTCAGTAGGGATTGGGAATCAGCTTAAAACTCACCACCAGGTTTCCTATCACCAGGACTAGCAAGAAAATGGTAATACATTTCTGTTTTCCAGCCACTTCCATACATTCCCACATCATTTCAATCCATTCTCCACATAATATTCGGAATATAATCAGGATTGAATGATTGAAATCCTTCATATGCCAGCGTAAATTTTTACTGGTGCTTATTTTATGGAATTTTTTTTCATAATCACTGCCCAAAAACTGCATTCCTACTACAGCAAAAATAAATACAGTGATAGCCAAAACCAGAGTGAGGTTACTCAGAGCACCAAATGAGTTCAGAATTATTTTCATAAGAGTATTCAAGGCTGGCCAGGACTTTGCCAATTTGAAGATCCTGATCTGTAAATAAAACACAAGAGAAAAAAGGAAAGGTCAAACACAGCCCAGACAGCACAGCCCACATAAAACCCAGACCCTGCATTTATCATGCTGCTTTTACTGCAGCAGTTATTTTTCCCAAAAAGAAAGGCTTTTAATTGTTTTGATGTAAAAGTGCTGCGCTTAAGCTTCAACAGTTAATGTTATTTGGAGCAGAGAACTATCAAAGAAAGGTTTCAAATTGTTTGTGCCAAGTTAGATACGAGAATATGCTAGTCTGATAATATAATTAACAATAAAAAGAACAGGAATATAAATATTTTATGGATACATGGATGAAGGTTATGAAATGACTGAGTTTTGGACTAGATGGAATGTAAAAGACAAATATTTTTTTATACCTCTCACCAAACAGACTTAAAATAGGATCTGAAAAGCTAGATGGGACCTACCCTATGTACCCCCATGAGTAGGTGTGAGGACTCTGAAATACTGTGAAAAATTTTGAATTAAATAATCAACTTAACATTATAAATATGCATTAAAGACATAAGCACAAAAGTAATATTATACATATATGTCTCAGAATGATTCCTCTTTTTCCCTAGAATGGAGGAAAACACTGAAGAGCCCTCAAGGCCATGACTCAGTCATGAGAAAAGCTCTGTTATTTTACAAATCTCAGCCCAAAAGGAAAAGCTGTGAAGGAACCTTTGCTATCCTTAAGCTCAGGAAATACTCAGGTAATATCTGCTCCTGATTGTAGGTCTGAGGTGTAGTTGAGCAGTGCCACTGTACAAACCTAACAGGGAACCAGTGAACTCTCTGCTGAGTCAGATCTCCCTGGGAGCAGACTGTGCCAGAGGATTTGTAGTGTCCAATATACACAGTATAATAAACATATTGAAAGTATTCTTTAATATTAACATTCACTCGAATTAAATGTTCTTGTTTGCTTAATATTTACCAGCAAAGGGAACTGATTTGACAGATTCATCATTGTCATGGGTTTGCCCCCATCCCCCTCTGGGGCTGAAAATGGTTTTCTCCAGGTGGATTTCTGAAGAAAAAGCCAATCAAAAGTTTTAGTGACGCCTCTGCCAATTACATATTTAAGAAAACGGAAGAGAAGGTGGTTGCACAGATGAAAATTAGTAGCCATGTAGGAGAGGCAGCAGGCCCCAAATGGGCCAGGGCCCCTTCCTTCCCCAGCCCTGGGCAGGGGCCAGGTGTGGTACTGAAGCCCCCCTTCTCTCCTGTCACAGAGTAGGAAAAAAAAAAAATTAGAGAAAAACTGCCTGGACAAGAAATACTGCAGAAGGAATTCCAGACAGAGATAATGGGCCTCCAAGGTCAAAGCTGGCAGCTGGAGAGAAGAGAAAAAGCCATGAAGCAGGGGGGAACTCCTTTTCTCCCCCTTTCTCTCTCTCCCTTCAGCAGGGAAAAGCCTGAAAACTAAAATTCCTGCCACCTGTGGAAAACTGTTGGGGAGTGGAGATCCTCCTCTGCAGCTTATGAAATAGCCAGAAGACTGCATGAAGAAAATGTGACTCTGTGGGAAGCTGAGATAGAACAGAGTCCTGCTGGAGACCTGTAGCCCATGGAGAAAGAGAAACCTACACTGGAGCAGAACAGCACAGGTAGGCTTGGGATCCCAGTGAGGGATCCCTGCTGGTGCAGCTGAATTTGTGACCCTGAGGGTCAGCAGAGAATGGAAGAACTGTTGTACAAGGGATGAACCCACACCGGAGAGGTCCATCAAGGACTCTTCTCCCTTTGGAAGAGACTTCACAAGAAACAGGGGTGGACTCAAAAGCCATTATCCCCTGTGACTCTGTGGTGAAGATCCATGGTGGGCAAGTGTCCCCTTGCAGTCCATGGAAGACCTTACAGGGCCTGGGTAACCCTCAGCCTCCGGTCTTAGCCCAGGAGGGGGGTAGGTCCAGCCCTGATGCCGACATAGAAGAGAGAGAGAAAGAGTAACAGTTCCAGCTGCAACGAATCGGAATTGTCATCCTAGAGATAATAGAATAAGAACTTTCAAATGTTGCAAAATTATTTAAAAGACCTGGAGCTCCAGAAATGGAACAAAGACTGCTTCTCCTCCTGAACTGATACAAAGGGGGGAGGGGTATTTTTGTACATACATAGCGTTTTTGCCTAATTAGAATTGTTGTAGACATAATTCTTTAGTTTTTATCTTGCTAGTAATAAATCCTAATATTATCCTCCCCAATCAGATCTCTTTTGTCTGCATAAACCTTCTCTCAACTTATAGTAACTGTGTGGGAGGTGAGAGAAAATTGGCCCAGAGCAAACCCATGACAATCAGTAAAATAATGACAGGGTATTTCCCTGTAATCTTTTACAAATCCATAGCATACATATGCCTTTAAAAATAATAAAGAAATCATTACCAGCCTGAAAGGTGACAGATTGGTCCCAAAGCTCAGTAGGCCAATCAAAACAACCAAACTATCAAAAACATTCCACTTGTTCTGAAAATAGTAGTAGGGATCTAGAGCAATGATTTTTAAGATCATTTCTAGTGCAAAAATCAGGGTGAAGACCTGGAAGGACAAAAAAGAAATTCAGAAAAGGTCACTGAAGAAGTCTGTCTCCTTATGGGACTGTTCCAGTATAAATACAGGGTTATAACTCCATATTCACCCTAATGTAGACCTCACTTACCTCATCACTTATAGTAATCAGTTTTCTGGTTTCTGGTAACATGCCAGGGTGCTCCATAGCCATAAATAAGGTATTCAAGATAATGCAAAACGTGATAAAGAGATCAACAAATGGATCCAAAATCACCAACTTCACCTTCTCTTTGACTGCTCTCCAGAATGGACAACAATTCCAAATTAAGCACTTTTTAACAAAACGTTTCCACAATGCAGGACATCTCACTTTTGACCCTAGCAGAGAAAGAGGGAAAGTGACATATGAATAATCCTATGTGGAATATCATAGTGGGAAGAGAAAAACAATCAGTCAGAGAAAAGATTGAAAAGAAACATCAATCCCATGTGAGCAGAACGGCATCATCAAAAGAAAGTTGTTTCACTCCTACTACACAAACTAATCACAGGCTATTGCAGGTCAGAATCAACAAATCTCAACATGACAGAAACAGAGGATATTACCCACCTCTTCATCTGTTTGTTATTCTTTCCTGTGAGGCTGGTGAGGCCCTGGCACAGGTTGCCCAGAGAAGCTGTGGTTGCCCCTGGGAGGGTTCAAGGCCAGGTTGGATGGGACTCTGAGCAACCTGGTCCAGCGGAAGGTGTCCCTGCCCATGGCAGGGGGTAAGAAAGAGATGATCTTTAAGGTCCTTTGCAACACAAACCCTTCCATGATTCTATGATTACACTATTAAAGGATGATAAAGGATCTGCATCAAGGAGAGAAATCACTGTTTCAGGGAAAATGACAACTTGTTTCCTGTGAGTTGAATCTGCACAGCCACAGGTGTCCACAGCTGAGGACAGGGTTATAAGTGAGGTTGGAAGAGAGCTCAGCAGATCTGTAGTGCAATCCCCTTCTCAAAGCAGGGTCAGACATCATCAGATCAGAGACTGCACCACCTGTTCCTCTGAAAATGGGCAAAATTTCTGCTTACACACACTTTGAAATTCTCTTCTTTCAATCAAGTTGGTCAGGCATGATTTGCCCTTGGTTATTGCGGGTTACAGACACAATTACATGAGATATGAGAATATTTATGTTACTGAAATTTACATTTGGTGCATAATTTCCCCTCGTGGCTTTTAGAATAATGCTGAGTGTTTGAGACAGTTTGATCTCTCAGATCACATTACACAATCTCACAGGAAAAACAGGAAAGAATGACGTACCCGAATTATCTGTAAGAATAGTGGCTGCACTCATTAACCTGTGTCTTCGCAAAGGATCATTAATAGAGTCCACTGACACATCATAGGACAGCAGGATCTGCCTCTTTGGTTAGAAAGACAACAGAAGAGAATATACCAAGGGAATAGAAAAAACAGGCAATACAAAAATTATGTCCAGCATGAGATAAATACATCTTTTTAAATACACATTGAAGTGAAGCTTTACTTTGGTGACAATATATAAAACAAAAAAATACAACACTATCAGGTATTTGCTTTTAAAGGCAAAGGGCGTTTCATCAAAACCAGTAAATTTCTTCATGAACTTGTTTCCTTTTGAAAATATTTATTAAAAATAATAATGTCATAATAGAAGCATAGAAATATTAATAGGGCAAGGGAAAAGAATCCTTCCATCTTTCCAGTGACTGATGAGAAGAACCGACAAAAACAACACTGGCCATCAGTTTAAATAAACTATTGCCTATTTAATGATGATAATTAATGAATTAATAAATAATAAATATTTATTAATATGAAAAATAGTCAAGTAGTTAATAAAAAATTTTTTTTTCCATCATTACCAGGCCTATCTAGATCTCTACTAATATTGAACTGCCCAAAACTAGGAATGACACTACTTTTGTTTTCTTTAGAAGCCACAGAATGCTCAGCTCGGTGTTCCTGATGTGAGCTCAAGGATGACAGGTCAACAATTGTATCGTATGGGATACACTGAATTATTATCAAATATTCAGATCATGACACATTAACACACACACTTTCTCAAGATAAAGTAGACAGTCATAAAACATGGTCTGCAAAGAATATGTGAGACTCTGAGACAGAGGAAATCATGAAGAATTTCACAGAAAGTTGGAAGGGTATAAAAGTAAGGATATATCATACCATTACTTCAAACTTTGTTGATATTATTATTTTTGTTAGCATATTCTAGAAAGCTGTTAATCAGGGAATGAAACTGATGTTCTTGGCCTCAGGGGTTTAATAATCATTATTTCTCTTTATCATTCTGATATTTTAATGAAAAAATAACCAAAACTTAGCTGATAGAACTGTCATAGAATGGACATATCAAAATAATTTGTAATACAGTGTTTAAATGTTCATTTCTCTCTCTATATTTTTTCTGAGTCTAAAAGGTTCTTTTAGACTCTTCTAGTCACATCCCAGTTCCCAGTGCTTTCTGTAATGGTTGGTGTCTCGTAAGACAGAAACACATAAAAATTTGTGTGCCAGCCTGAATAAAGTCTTCAGGTTTCTTGTTGAAATTCACAGCTGTTCAGAAGCATTCAGAGTTAGTGCTTTTAGAAAGGACAAGGGTGTTCACCAACAACTGACCTGGTTATTGCTGCTCATCTGTCTTTAGCTGAGGGAAACAACTGGGGACAAGAAACTGGGATTTAAAATAGGAATGTGCACCACAGGAATAGTCTATTCAAGTTTTTATAAACTGATTAAGTCCTTGTCATGGTTTAGCTAGCTGTTGTAAACCAGGCAAAGAAATTTTTCCCTTCCCCCTGGCCCTGTGTGCAGAGCCAGAAGGAGCTATCAGGTGAACAAAAGGACTGGTTCCTTCACTAATTGCCCAGAACTTAGTCTCCTAGGAAATGGGGGAGATGAAAGGCTATTGTTTACTTTTTTCTCTTGGGCAACAGGGGAGGAGGAGTTTGGTGGGCTGTGGCTGGAACGCTTGGTCAGTGTAGAGGCTGGTGTGTGTGGCTTCAGGACCTGTTTTGCTAGTTGTGGATCCTGCTTGGAGTTTTCATCAGAGATGAGCTGTTTCCCTGGAGGGCTTCTTTTAATTTTTTTAACTTTCGCCATTCCCACTGGTTTTTTTGTTTTTTGTTTCCCCCCCCCCCCCCCCCGCTGGGGGTCTTTGTGCACATCAGTGGAAAAGAGAGGACTGTGCAGAGCAGTTTCAACCAGCCAGAGTGAGTGAAGGATTGTTTGTTTTTGCTGGTGGTGTTGTTTTCCTCCCCCCTCTCCCTCTCCCCTTTCCCCGCGTGTGGGAAAGGAAAGGTCAGGTTTTTTTTGGTTGGCATGTCCTGGTGGCGGGCACAAGACATTACAGGTCTCTTCATCTCCAGTGATCCAACAGCGCCACCTGCTGACTATGGTTGGAATTGCACCAAAGGGCACGAAATGGAACTGTTTGCTTTTCCCTTTGCCTGTTTATCAGTTTGCTTTGAAGGGGATTATTTGTGGGTATATGAGAATTGTTTGGTTGTTTTACTTGTTTTTTTCCATGTTTCTGTTAATACACACATACCTTTTAATAAAGGGCTGTTATTTTTCCTTTTCCATAATTTGTTTTTTCCTTCAATCGGAGCCTTTTAATTTTGAATTTTTAATTGCTTAGAGGGAGGAGTTTGGTCTTTTCTCATAACTCATTCTCAACAAAAGACCTGTGTCTCATTTAAACTGGGACAGTCCTACCAAAATGTTTCTGCCTGATATGTTTTTTTCTCTTTGACTTAACATCTTTAGCCTCTTTTGTGATTATTTGATTGCTTCATAATTTGAAGGGTCCGCAGTTGCAGGTGAGCCACAAGTAATTGCCACGTTTGTTGTAGATTGTATATATTTGAGTAATAAAGGAACTCTACATCAGAACAACTCACCCTGCTTGGTTTATGCTCTAGGTTTTCCTTTCAAATTTTTTTAGTTTTTTTTACGTGAAATTATTTCAGTATGAATGTACTACTGACAGCCGCTTCCAACTTCCCTTTCAAGTCCAAATAGTGCTGTCTCCCTCAGGTTCCAAAATACAGTTTTCAGATTTCTTTAAAAAACAAGACATTCCAATGAATACAAGGAGGAGAAAAAAAAAAAATAAAACAAAAGGGAGGAAAATTGCAAAGAGGGAAAGCTTTTCTGCTCACTGAATTGTCATATCACACCTAAGTCTAATGAATATATTTTCTATTTCAAATACTTACAAGCTTTTTGTGGCAGTGACCAGGCTGTGAATGAAATATTTCCTCCTCTTTCTTCTGATCAACAAAAATTAGGTTTTGTCTTAAAATAGGTGTTTCCTTATTACTCTCTCTTCCTTTTGAATTCTTCAAGTCAGCAACTGGCATTTCAGATCCAACCTGCAAGGCCTTACTGCTTTCTCCTGCAGCCAGCTCCTGGAAAAAAAAAAGGCCAAAAATCTGTCTATTAACACAAGGTAAATGCCAACACATGGATTAGGATTTAGTTTTTACTCATGAGTTTTTATTCATTAAATTATTATGCTGTCTGAATGCTTTACACTAACAATTCCTAGCTTTCCAATATCAAACTGCTATAAAAAGATAGGAGTACAAAATTCTATTCACAAACAGAAAGACAAAACAGGGTTGCTTGTCAGTGCCTGTAATTAAAGTTTGCCCTTGTCACCTGAGATGCTTTGTCTCTGAATTACAGAATATTATGGTGTATCCTTTTCCTTCCCTTTTCCTGCTTTGAAAAGGTCCTTGAGTCCAAAGACAACACAATACTAAGGGCTCAATCTAAATCTTTTTCTTGAATACTAATCCTGTCAAAAGGAAAACAGAAGGAAGAAGAGCCTAAGTAAATCTTGGCAAGCTGGAATGTCAGGCAGGGAAACATCACAGACCTGCCAACAGCTGTGGAGGAGGAACTTGGTAAAATGGTGAACACCTTAATGATGAAATTGGATAGTTGCTAGAGAATATTTGTATGCCCCCTTACAGATCTGACTTTTCTGACTGTAAGCAGTAAATCAGAGGTATCTCTTATAAAAAGTTACAAGATACAATAGGTCTTACCAATAATTTTCAACCCATCTTGTTGCCCTAGCTTAGAGCTTCACTTCTGGTGGATGAGAAGCTCGAGATGAGCCAGCAGCGTGTGCCTGCAGCCCAGAAATAACTGTGTCCTGGGCTGCATCACGAGAAGCATGGGCAGCAGGTCAAGGGAGGTGATTCCCTCTCTGCTCCCCTCTCATGAGACCCCACCTGCAGTGCTGTGTCCAGATCTGGGCCCCCCCAACAGCAGCAGGGTATGGACCTGCCCAAGAGTACGAAGATGCTCTGAGGGCTGGAGCACCTCTGCTCTGGAGACAGGCTGAGAGAGTTGGGGTCATTCAGCCTGGAGAAGAGAAAGCTCCAGGGAGACCTTAGAGCCCCTTCCCGTCCATAAAGGGGCTCCAAGAGAGCTGGAGAGGGACTTCTTACAAGAGTGTGTAGTGACCTGACAAGGGCGAATGGTTTTAAAGGGAAAAAAGAGAGATTTAGATTAGATGTTATGAATAAATTCTTTCCTGGGAGGGTGGTGAGGCACTGGCATAGGTTGCCCTGAAAAGCTTTGGATACCCCATCCCTGGAAGTGTTCACGGCCAGGTTAGATGGGCTTTGGTGGCTCTTGGAAGGTTTTTTAATCAGGCCTGAAATCTATCAGCACTGAAACTTCCAACTTCCGGGAACCGCAAAAATGAAAATTTTTCTCATGGATGTAAATGTATCCACTCCTATTTCCTTCATGAGACTGCACAGTAATAGCAAGAAGGAATACCCAGAGAAAGGAATTTCTGTCCACAGCAATAGTGGGAGTGTACAAGAACGGGGAAAACCATGGAGTGCAGCACCTGTGCAATACCATAAAAACTACAAACTTGCCAACAAGCCATTCCTATACAGTGTCAGGTCTGCAAATCCTAAAACTTAATGATGGTTTTTTGTATCACAGAGATGTTTTTGTATATACATACACTCATGCATTTATACAGACACAAAGAGAACTGAAATGTGAGAAGGTATTGTAAGAAGCACATATTTAATTCAAAACATTATTTCCCTAATTCACATACAAAAGAAAACAAAAAGAACCACATATGATATGTAATAATTTACAAACCTGTTCTTTCTCTATAATTTGTTGGGCATCCTGAAGTAGTTTTCTCTTGGCCTCTGTTTCAGCAAGACTAGCTCTGTTTTGCTCTTCATATGCCATTGTTACCACAGCCAAGATCAGATTGAAGAGATAAACTGAGCAGAAAAAGATGACTGCCATGAAAAAAAAAATGCAGTTCACTCCAGATGTACGGATAACCTGTGAGGAAAAGGTAAATGTTGTGATATATTCTTAACAAACTAAGTTAATTTTTTTTTTAATGGTAGTAGAAGAGATGGCTCAAAATTA